CCTTTTATTAATTATCCATCTTATTTATGTATTATGGAAAATACTGGATAATTAATTACGAATTTCATTTATAGCTTTTCAAAGCTATTCATCCCAACATTCTATGCCTCTAATTCACGAGTGAGAGAATCTATCGAGAAGGAGAAGAAGAGAAATTGCATAAATCATTCAATCGATCCGGCCAGCAACTCTCTCCCAAGATAGCTACTATTCAGATCTGGCCAAGAGAGAAATACTAGAAATCACATCAACATTCAGCGACGACAAAACTCCTCCTTTCCTTGGCTTCGTCGGTGAGTTGCAAAGTCTGCCATCTGTTGCGGTAGCGGCGGTGCGTCGCGGGCGAGAAGGTTGATTCATCACGGGGAAAGGTAGGATGACTTCAACGGGCGGAATTAGTTGGTCGAAGCCATGGGTCGGGACTGCACAACGATAGGAATAGATGACCAAACAGCAGCGGATCCAGAACGCAGTAAAGCACTGGGCCGCATTTCAATATAATATTATACAACGTAAATAAAAATAGTCAACATTTTAAAATTTTAGTATTTCAAATAAAAAATAGTTATAAAATTACCAATGGTAACAGACAAATGACTAATATTTTGATGCGTTACAAAAAATTTAGCTAATATTTTATATTTCAAAAAGTTTGGCTAATAATTTGAAAAGTATATGATAACTTTTCATTCATTACAATGCCAAAAGGTTTGACTAATAAATTGTATTTACCAAAAAATATATGATAACAATAGTTTTCATTAATTACAATGTCAATTGTAATAGAAGGTTTTTTAATTTGGCAAATCCATCAATAATAATAGAATCTCCATCAATATCAATAGCATATTCTCTATCAAAGAAAATAACTAAGCAATCAACGAGGAATTCTTAGCATTTTGTTGCGCAAATTAGTTTTAACATATTTCATTGCTTAAAATGTTCTCTCCATGGTAGCCGCTGAAACTGTCAAGGTCAACACTAGACGAATCAACCAACAAATCAATTTGTTTAGAGGATTTTCTAATTTCAATGAAACTTTATGCACTCTTTTACAATTTAGACTTTTAGGTTTTATTGTTTTTTTCAAATGAAAATCATTCGGGCTAAAATTCCTAGACTAAATTGAGAGTAGTAGTTTGGATATGTTCATCTAGACCATTTTCTAACTACACAAAATTTATTATCATATAGCACTAGAACGACCATTAAATAATACTGGGCCGAATACCTAAAATCGAAATTTTTATAAGCTCTATATTAGCTCTGGATCAGCCGGAGGGCTAGGCCATGGCCCGGGTTGGCCCAGCCCTAGATCTGCCGATGTGACGAAATGGAAGGTGATAACGTCGATGGGGCGGCAGATGCGGCTGCCGATGCCTTACAGGGTCTCCACGGGGAGATCACGCTCCCAAAAGTTTAATTCGCGCTCTCATTATTTTAAGTTGGCGAACTTTTGCCGAATTGCTGGAAGTTCGCGTTTCCGTGCGCCGGAGCGGAAGCGACAAACCTTGAGAGGCGAATTAGGTTACCTAAAGTCAAACAAACCAAAACAAGTAAAATTATGGAAAGTAAGAGTTGATAATAAAAAGGGAAAAAATCCAAAACAAATTAATATCTCCTAAAATATGGAAATTATGAGAAGAAAGCGTTACTAAATTAATAAAACGAGAGAAAAAACAATCACCAAAGATATACTAATAATAATAATAATAATAATAATAATAATAATAATAAATTGGCAGGAGTTGATGGAGTTACAACAAGACTATAAAAAATTAATATAAAATAAGTTTAAATTACACATTTGGTCACTCAAATTATACAAATTTTTCACGTTTGCCACCCCACTTATTTTTCTTTCTTATTATCCACTAACTTTACGAATTATTTCACCGGTTGTTACACTCCGTTAAATTTGTCCTACGTGGCAGTCAACTATGAAGTTTGACCGTTAACTAGATGACCTGAAAATTTAAAAAATGAAAAAATTAAATTTATTTTTCCACCTCATCATTCCATTTTTTCTATATGATTTATCATATTAATTATTTAATAATAATTAATTAAATTAAGAAAACGAACGGTCTCCTCTTTCCTCATTCTAATAATGCATGTTCAGCAGAAGACCCTTCCTCCGCCGCCAATGATTTCCTCGATCATATCCTTCGCTGCCTCCTCCACCTAGCCCTCCGCCGCCGCCGACCTCATCAAGTCCCCCTAGACCGACCTCCCCATCTGAGACTCCTCCCACGACGACAGAAATGAGGTCTTTGACGACCCCGCTGCCATCAGCCTCGCCTCAAATTCCGTCACCACCCGGTCAGCGGCGGCGCTACCAACATTAACAATAATCACAACAACAATAAGATGATGCTTCAGAAAAGGGATTTGCAGGGACGACTAAGATAGGGGAGGGAAGGCTTTTTATTTTTGATGAATTAAGGGAAGGAGAGTTTCTATGTTTGATCGGGCATGATTCTCCGACATACATGGTGTTTTTTGTTCGGTTTTCATTTCTTATCAGTGATTTTAATCTCTTTATTTGTTGCTTCTCTGGTTTTTGATTTCTAACGAGGGAGGTATAGAAAATGGCTGGAGAAATGGCCACCCGGGCGGATCAGGTTTTTCCAGTGATCGTGTTCTGATAGGGATGGCTCAGAAGCCTTTAGCGGCACCGGCAACTCGCTAGTTTTATTAACCGTGGCTGAAATCTGGGCCATGTTCTTCGCCTCGCTTTTTCTGCCGGCTTTGACGGCCTTCTCTTTGGTTTCGACAGTGGAGTCATGTTCTGTGCTCTATTCCACCACTGTCGTCGCCTCTGATTCAGATCCTCCCCGTCGCTTCATATCTTCTATGCGTGGCAATTCTGTATCGCCACTTCCTTCGGCTGCAGCGACTTTGGATTCAGAGCCTCGTCCGTATGTCCGACGCCGGATACCTGTCGTGGCCGCCGCGTGGAGCTTCTACGACAATCTGAAGTTCAGAAATCGATCAACGATCTAAATAAACAAATTGGGCGCGATCCGGAAATTGATTTGAAGAAGTGGATTGGGGATTTGAGCCTCAATCTCATACTGAAATTGGTTGCGGGGAAGAGCTCCTCTGTTTTTGACTCGGCGAATTGAGATTGAGTTGATTTTTGTGGATTGGATTGATTTTCTTCGCCGACAATTGGAGTGCAGCAGTCCCTCCCAGCGGCGCTGTGCTGGGTTTTTCCGGTCCCCATCCAACGCTCTTCTCCACTGCCTCTTCTTTTGAATTCTCCGCTGCTTGTCGAGCCGCCCGCTCCCGATCGAGTTCCGCCAAGAGCTCCATGTACCTCTCGACGGGGACATGTTCCGGTTTGTGGATATTCCCGATCACAGTCGCAGTCGTATGATCACCTCCTCAACGTCGTTCAAATTTTTTTTTAATAATTAATATGATAAATAATATAGACAAAATAGGTGGAATAATGAGGTGGAAAATAATTTTTTTTTTAAATTTTCACGTCATCTAATTAACGGTCAAAATTTATAGTTGACTGTCACGTACGATAAATTTAACGGAGTGTAACGGCCGGTGACTAACGGTAAAACGATTCCTAAAGTTAATGGTGAATAAGAAAGGAAAATAATTCGGATGACAAACGCGAAAAATTTGTATAATTTGAGTGGTCAAACGTGTAATTTAATCTATAAAATAACTGAATTGCTATTTGTCGCCCTAAAATTTAAATTTTATCGCCCTAAAATACATCAAATTGACAATCTTACCCCTCATACCCCATTCCTTTTACTGCCGCAGCCGCCGCATCTTCTTGGCAGACTTCCTCTTCATTGAAAAGCTTGGCTCCATTTGTGGCAGAGGCCCAGAACCGCCGCCGTCGATTGCACCATCGCCACCATCTAGGTCGAAAACCACCGCGGCCGCTACATCAATACGGCAGTCGTCGTTCCAGTGTCGGTACGACCCGCTCAGCTACTCGCTTAACTTCGGTCGGAGCCTGCTCAACGACGACGAGGAGTACCTCTAGTTCTGCAACTTCTCCTCATGATTCGTCGCCAATCCCAACAGAAACTCCATCGTCACTGCAACGTAACCGGACTGAAACAGGGCATCGTTAACTTGATATTGATATGAAATGTTGCTCTGTCTCTTGTAAATGTCACAAAATCAATCCCTGAGTTCTGGCATTATGTGGAGATGAGTGCAACTATAGTTATGAAATGATGGAGTGGGAAGCAGCATGTTCTGTTCTCTTTTTTCTCCTTTCTGTTATTTATAAATTCCACTTTCCTTCTTGAGTAATGTCTAAGTAAGAAAGCTTCAGTCTTCTGATGAGGGATGGCATTCTGTTTTTTGCCGTATTCATAACATGCTGAAAGAAATTCTGGAGAAAGTTTTAGTTTTCTCATTTGGGTTGCTCTGTTATTTGCTATGGGTATTAAGGTAAAATTAATTTATTTAGGGCGACGAATAGCAACCGCCAATTGAAAAAAGAAAACCCCCAGCAGAGACATTTCCTGTGCATCAAGACAGCTTTTACTGTCCATACAGACTCAGTGGTACTGTTTCAACTCGGATTGAGATTGGGTGTGGGAGGGTGCAGGGAAGTTCTGGTTGGTTCCCAACTAGACTTGGTGTTCAGTTGAGTTTGGACCATTGTTTGTCTTCTGGTTAGGGGTCCTTTCCGTATCTCTCGGCACACGATGATCACTCTGAAACTACTTGAGGACTGTATCCGGTTAGAGGGAGGTTGGGGTATAGGTGTTGAGAGGCCAAGGTGTGGCTTTCCAGGCGGGCGTGATGCCCAAGTTTCCTGTCAGTGGTGCGTCACTTTCGCACTCGAGTGGCTGGGCGAAAAAGCTGTTAGCTCGGGTGGGTGTGGATGACAAATAATTCATTTTTTTTTCTTTGTTTACTCACATCATGCGTGGGATTATTTCCACCACATGTTTATGGTTCAGAGGTGGGCACGAGACCTCAATCTTCACTTATTAGCTTCTTGCCTATACCACTTATTTTCCTCAGTTGGATCCTCTTTCATTCTCTGTATTTGTTCCAGTTTCTCTCTCTGAATCCAACCTTCCTCTGTTTGCAGATTTATTCATCTTCCACTAAAGCAGATGCGATGATCAAGTTGGACGAAGCTATCAAGAGAAGTGGTGATCAAGAGGTCCCTCAATAACCAAGAATCCATTCAGTAAGTCATCTCGATACTCTTATTCTCTAGCTTTGTTGTGCATATCTCACTATTATCCTCCATTTTTCAGATCTGCGAGGGCGACGACGGGAAATCGGGTTTTAAGTAACCCAGATTTCCGATGGTGATCATGCCAGGATGTAGGGGTAAAGGTAGCAAATTTTATTCAGTTCAAAATCTCCAATCAAAATCCTTCAGTTCCTCTTTTTTCTCCCTTTTTCACTTTTCGATCACTTGATGCAAGCATTGTTGTCATCGATTAAACAACAAGATCAGTGTTCTCATCAGTTGGTAGTTGTTACAAACCTCCCGGACATCGGATCGTAGCGAGGATGGATTGTGTCTTCTTTGTCGACAGGAGGTTGTGGCGGAAGGGATCTGTAAAGTGGATTCGAGAAGGTAGATATTAACTGCTTGATCGGCGCTGCCGCTGACAACTACCATATCCGCTTTTGCTGTGGCGGTCTGTTTCATTTCCTCTGTCTCTATCAAGATTACAGTTGTATATGTATATTCTCTCTCTCTTTCTAATGGATCCGTTAGATACTTTTCGTGAGAAGTACTGGACGTTATTTTGTTGTTAAAGCCAGTGGTCAGGTGTGTAGTTGGCGTACCGGGGGATTGCTCGAGCTCAAGAGATATACGTGACGGATTTTGGGAGATTTAGACACGATTTGGAGTTTGGGTAGATTCTGAGTTTATAGCCTATGCATGTTCTGTTTGAGTTCCAAGTGATTGTATTCTTTTCAATTTTCAATGTGGGTCGTTCTCTCTTTCTCCTTCATAAATTTGTGATGCTGATCTTTTGCGAGAGGAAGTAATGGTGATGTATTTTGTGTTTTTTTCCTTCTGTTTGCTGTTGGTAAACCATGTTATGACTTTAATGTTGTTTTTTTCTTCTTTTTGTAGCTGGTCTTTTGGACGTCAGGGGAGGTGGCTAAGTTTTGGGCGAGAAGAAGCACACAAGGCAAAGCCATTTACAATTATAATGGTTTCTGGTGTGAGAGAATCTCAACAGAATCAGAGGAACAATGCACTCACATTTTGTAGCAACAAATGATTCTCTTCACCGTGTATTATACTCTTACATGTAACTTGAAATCCGAAAATCTCATATCAATCAACCCTATTTTGGACTCTGCCGTTAACCTGGTATATTCTTACTATTGTTTTCATGTTCTTCATTCAAACTTTACAGATAGGAATATTGATCCACTCAAATGAAAGCAGTGGAGGGTACAACTATTCGTGTCCATAAGCCAGCAGATATGCATTGTTCAATTAGGTTGTGTTTAAACTTGAGTGGATATAAGAACCAAACAAGTTGGCTGCGTATGTGACAAAAATTGTAATGGACACTTTGTCAAATAGGACAATGGACATGAATGCATCAAGTCATCAACACAATGGATATGGTCATCGATAGAAGGTATAAAGTGGAAGTGTATTTTTATATATACCACATATAGAAGTGACCATTTAAAATCACCAATCGTCCAATCTAATTCTCTAATCATCCAATCTAATTCATCCAATAGAGAATTCAATAAATTGGTAATCGAGATCCAATCTGGCTGATGGATTTCAGGGATGAAATTGTGGATTGTTGGAAAATTGAGGATTAATTAATACCCTTACTTTCTTATGTTTTATATTATGATACATACAATTTAAATTTCAAGCCAATTGAGTCAAATTGTCTCATGCAATTCCTTCATCCAAACAACCCCTATCGATTCATCAATCCATTCCACTAATCTATATCTAATTCATTTGATCACCTCTAATCACAAATCCCGACGCGAAGCGCGGGCAAGGAAGACTAGTAATAATAGAGAACAAAGAAGAAACACAAACGTAAGTTTTTCCTTTCGCATCTCATAATAAAGGGAACAGAAAAGGGATGCTTCGTGCTTCCTTCTTCCTTCTTCCCTTTGTATTTTTCTTGTGAGTGATGAGACTTCTCGGTAGCTGGTTCAAGTTATTGATATACTTTTTTTTTGAATCTTTGTAACGAGCGAAGCCGTCCCTGCTTGCGCCAGGACCCGATCGACCCGTCGCTAGTCGGTGTAAGTTAACACCCACAACCTGTTCGATAAAATTCCCCACTGGGTGGGCGGAGTAGGCATTTTTCTTCTCCGGGGATAGTCATCTCGTTGCTTGGGGATTTCACTCCCTATTTCCGTCATCATTCCTCAAATAAAGCGTCTCTGTCCCTTCTCTGAGACAATTGCTAGTTTCTGCTAGTCCGAAAGTTCTTCGCAGAGGAAATTGGCTGTCAAATGTCAATGGCTGCGTTTTCTCCCTCACAACACTCCTTTACCAGCTCCCAGATGGAGCATTCTGGGTCTCAGGGGTTGGAAGTAAAGATTGAAGCTTCAGCACAAAACGAGCCAGCTGCTACACTCTTAGTTCGTCATCTTCCTGAGGGCATCCGCTATGACACTCTTTCCCGCCTCTTCTCTCACTACGGCGCTTACTCGGTTCGCCCCTGCAGTGGTGGAAGGTAATAGACATTTTGTGCATGCTTCTAGACTGCAGTGCTTTGTACAATTCACTTCTCATAGCGAACTGTCTGAATAATATAGTGATTCTAGGATTATAATGCTAGTCATGTACATTGATGTTTTGTTGCGGCCACACTAGATGGGGAAGAAGATTGAAGTCTGTGGCTTGAGGTGATACGGTATGCCATCACACTCGAGCAGCTAACTCCGTCTCCAAATGGTCTCCATGTGTGTCCCATGTTAATTTGTCAATATGGCAATGTTGCCCTTATGTTATCTATGCATATGCAGCGTCACTGATCCCTTATTGAACCAGCTGCTGAATCTGTGGTAGCAATGATTTATTTGTCCGTTTCACTTGCAGATTAAGGAACTGTGCGTTTATTGATTTCAAAAATGATGCATTGGCTTATCAAGCTTTGCGCCAGTTGAATGGGTAAATTTTATCCTGTCTTGTTATTTGTTTCACTTTTGTTTGATCATTTGCAGTTGCTGTTTTCATGTTTGGTGTACCAATGACGAGGCCTTATTTGCTGGTTTAGCTACTTCTCTTCATTTGCAAATTATTATAATGCATTACCAATTTTGTCTGTTTATATGTTAGATTGACATCTGGAAACATGCTATTTATTTTCTTGTCTTGTATCCTTTTTTCAGGGTCAGGTTTCTTGGTAAAGTTCTAAAAGTTGAGAAAGCCAACAAGATTAATGAGGATCACAGAAGTAAACAAAGTGAGGACCAAGGGAGGAAACATAATATACTTCCAATACCGAGTGCAAGGGATACTCACACATCGGGAACAGACATTAGTGTTGAGTTGAAGTCGGGAGCATTTATAGCTAGTCAGCCAATTGCTCCAAAACTTGGAGTAGACTACCCATTTCCTCCTCACTTAGGGTACGGTATCTCAGTCACTTTTTCTCAGTTCTTTATTTATGCATCCTGGTTCACTGTTGAACTCTTTTCACGATATCCATCGTTATGTAACGTAAACACTTTGTATTTTATGAGATTGTTCTGCGAAAATGGTATTGGTTCTTGGGCATATGATATCTGCTGATCACAGTCATGTGTAGAAAATTGTTAATAAAACTAATGATAAAGAGGAAATTCATTGAGCATCTCTTTCTTAACATTTCTGCAACGTCCTCTGCTAGTGTATCTCAATCCCCTACATATAGTGCCTAACTTGGATCAGCTGTTATTTGATTTTTTTTCCAGGTATGCCTATCCTTCACCTGATGGAAACATCTTGACCAATATTGTCAATGCACTGATTGCGGTTCCTCGGTTTTACACACAGGTAATTTCCAATCTCAGTTAGAGCAATGAAGACATTTTATCTAGAAAACTTCTCTTGAGGTCAATACTTACATGTTTTTCACACAGCATTTGCTAGAATCACTATTGTTCACAACTTCAGCTTTGACTAGGTGTTGCATTTGATGAACAAAATGAACATTCCAGCTCCATTTCGCATGGCACTGCCTACCCCTCCTTTACCACCTTCTGAATCTGCACCAGCTCCACCTCCACTTGTTGAAGCATATCATCAATCCGCAGATGTATCCAGTAGTGAGTCTGAATTGGAGTCTTCTGACAAGGTATGGCTCATTTTGTGACATTCTTTTTTATCTGAAGTTATTCATAAATTTCAAATGATATAATTTAATGACCATCTTTCTTTTAGGAGAAACGGATGTATTTCTCTTAACTTATTCAGTCAATTTTCTACATTCCACTCCCTTCGGTTTTCTAGGGGAGTTTTTTTTTTGCAACATTGTAGCTTATAATTTGCTTCAGCTTTGATTGAACTGATTAAAACATGTTATGATGGACTACTTTCAGGATGTAGATGACAAAGCCTCTTCTCTTGGACCTGTTGTTAAATCTGGCCGAAAGCGTAGAAGAGAGGCAATAGTGGGCCCCGCATTTGATAAACAAGTTGCTCATGAAACAGTGGGATTGAAACTTGCCACCTTGCTTCCAAAGGAAATCCCTATTGTAAAGAAGAAAAACTTTATGCTGCAGGTCATACACTCATACTGCTTATTGGTTATTGTTTTTCAGATTGTTTGACCTCTCATCTCATGGATGATTGTATTCCTCCATTTTTGCTTTATAGATCAAAATTGCCCCAAAAGAAGTTCAGAGTGAAGAGAAAGGTAGTAGCATTGAAGCTGAATCTGTGGAGCCAGAGCCTCAGACTCCAAATGATAAAGCCTATGCAGCTCCAGAAGAAATACAGAGTAACAAGCTTGTACCTGAGGAAATCCTATCATTGCCGAAGTTCAAGGTACTGGGGAACTTCACATATTTGGTACCTCTACTTCTAGTACAGTTAGTGGATTGTTTCTGCTAATTGTGCAGTGTCATCTAGATATGCACTTCTCGTGTATGTGAAAACTGGATCAGCAGCTGATTGGAAATCCTTGCGGTCCGTAGCTAATGTCATTGTTGGTCTATAAATTGCTTCGTCGTATGCTTGATCGCTTTATGCTACACGTAGTACTAATATAAAGTTGACTGTGGAATTGGTCATTTGTAATGAGTCTAAGCTGATTTGATTAATGCAGAACTACTCAGTAGGGCATCCAGCAACTGTACTTTACATAAAGAACCTTGCAAAGGACGTGGTTGCAGATGACTTTTCTTATGTCTTCGGTGAGCTTAGATGTCCAAGCAGTTGACTTCTTATCTTCATTGCATGCTGCCATTCTGAGACACGATAATATCTCAAGAGATGTTGACTTATGTGATAAGTGAATCAGCAGCTATACAATTGCCCTGTTGGACCGTTATCAGTATCTTTCAATAGTTGGCTCGTGTTAAATCTTATTAATTATTATATTGAAACTCAGACCTGAATTCTCGGTTCCCAACACATCAAGCACCAGCTCTTCTGTCTCCACCAAGTTCTTGATCTCTTTAAGATGATCTTGCTTCCATATGATGTAGGGTCACTCTTTGGGAGTACTGATGCAGCTAAAAATGCGCTTAATGTGAAGCTAATGCAGGTGAGGGCTCCCTCTTCTACTTTTTCATGACATATTTGATGCCCCAATTCTGTTTTGAGAATGTATATGAAATTGGTAGGCAAATGGGCTGAGAATTGAGATTACTTGTGTAATGTTCAGGAGGGAAGAATGAGGGGCCAGGCCTTTGTCACATTCCCATCGGTTGAACTTGCACATCAGGCCCTGGTACGTTTATATAATGAGAACATTGTTTATTCTGAACGGGACGGTGTTACTGACGTTATGCAACTACAACTGCAGAATCTAGTTAACGGTTACATGTTCAAAGGCAAGCCAATGATCGTTCAGTTTGGGCGGAATCCTTCAGCCAGCAGCAAGCCTGATTAAGCATAAGTCTCCATTAGGGTCTTTCTTTCTAGGCACAGTTGGCCTGCATCTTCAAATGTAAATTCGTTAGACCGCTGATAAGTGCAACTCATGCAAATGCCTGAAAGCTCAAACCATCTCTCTGACTTTGAAGTCTAACTTTCACCAAACGCAGGTTCGTAACTGAATGATCAGTAATTCCATCTAGTTTGCCACTCATTCTTTTTTTCTTTCGGAAACCCTGATTCTGACAAGCACAAGATGTTACAAGTGGCAAGATTTTGATCCACACTGAACCGTTTTGAGATTTAATCTGATGGAATTAAATCTATATTGTACGGTCCAGATCTTTTACCCGGCCGAGTAAGTGAATTAAGAGTTAATGGTCGAATTGGTTTAATTCGGATATTATGAACGATGCCGTGATTGAGTGGTTGTGTTGGTGGTTTCCAGTCTGGAGTCAGTTTCCATTCCCAGGAATGACGCTCTTTTCTCTTTTCCCTCACCCCTCTAGCAGCACTCTGTAATAGGTTTCTATAAAAAAGTCTTTTAAACTGAAAAACTGTCAATCATCAACAATCAACAATTTATATAATACGTTTTACACCGCGTGGAAGCTGCCATTTCAAAAATGCTGCCCTGGGAGCGTTTCTCGGAAGGGCATCCAAGTAACTTACCACCATTTCAAACCCCGCCTGAACAAATTCCACATCACAAACCCAAAACGCTGCGTTAGCTCTTTAGTTTTTTAATTCAGCCACCAATCTTCCGTTCACGCTGCAATCCCTAATCGCCCACCCCCACCAATTCCACCGCCAACGGAAATCCCTTCTTCTTTCCCTCTCAATCGCGGTCGTCATCGATTTTGCCCTCAACGGTGTTGCGCCCACCAAGCGGCAACCAGCAACACTCATTCTGGGGCGACGACGGGAAGCTCAATTCTACGAACGTCGTCGGCATCTACATTCACCGGAACTTGCGTTCTATACTCTCAAACCCACCGTACACTGAAACCCGCCGCCCGAGTTCGACATCTCATTCCTGCCGCTGCTGCAATCCAAATTGCATTCTCAAAATCGCATCCTTCCGCATCCTCCAAATTCATACAAGTTCCTGTTACAACTACCCTACCAGCTCATAATCCCTTCTTACTCCAGCCTCATCGTCTTTCAGTCGTTGTTATGACTACCCTTCCACGCAATATGGCCCAATGTAATCCCAATGATTGTGTAATGTTATGATACCATTATTGCAGATATGTTCACTTTCTAACCATGATGCATTGCTTTCCATAGGGAAACGCCGAGCCATTTTTCTGCCACCAAATGGTCCTACTCCTCAACAAGTTGCAGCTGAGCAAGAACGCCTGAATGAAAGTAATATTCACACTATATATTACTCCAATTTCCATAGTACCAGCTGCATTTAATTTGTTTTGTTTATCCATCTCACATTGTTCTTGATGCAGAGATTCATGTGCTAACTGAGGAACTACACGAGCTTGATCGTCGCCTACCCAAAATGGCACGCACTATCCGCCGAGCCCGGATGCGCCACCGCTGCACTCAACCGAATTATCCCCTTCCTGCCAATGGTATCGTTAGTTCACCCCACTGAACACCTATATTTATTTGCTACTTTGTCCTTGGAGTGGTGAAAAGCATGTGTAAATTTTCTATGATTAAAGCACTACCATCCTACAGTCAGTACATGAGAGCATCAAAATCTTTTGTGGAATACGGCAGCATAACAGGTTTTGGGTACATCTTTTCTCAGGCCACAATGACTTGCTCTCTAGACTGCAATACAAACGATCGCGAATCCTCCGTTCTATTTTTCTATGCAACCGGCGTAAGGTGAATGCCGTACCAAGAGGGTTTTCACGAAATCATGGTCAGTTATATGCATTCACATCATTACTGTACACCATTTACCGTCCATTTGTAATCATTTTTTTACTAATATGAGTTTCCTTTTCAGGCTTCCCATCTGTTGAGGCATACGAATTAGGTCCACCGTCATGTACTTGCGTATTTTGTGGTGCTGTTATGTGGCCCGAAGAATGCACTTATGCAACCAGGAGTCATACAAATCCCAAATTTTCTTTGTGCTGCAAGCAGGGGAAAGTTAAATTGCCTCCCAGACGTAACCCACCTGAGTTTCTTAAACAATTACTGGAATCTGAGAACCCATTAAGTCGCCATTTTCGCCAATTTATTCGGCAATATAATGGTGTATTCTGCTTTATTTCTCTTGGAGGTAAAGTCGATCGCAATATTAATGATGGACGTGGTGTCTATGTCTATTCTATCGGCGGTCAGATCTATCACAGCATTGGCAGTTTACTTCCTCCTGAAGGCCAGCCACCGAGGTTTGCACAATTATATATACATGAATCCACATCGGAATTGCAGAGTCGCCTCAACGTATTCTCATCGGACCAGACTGGGAATTCATTGCGTCCAGAAATAATTGAAGGCTTACAGGAAATGTTTGACCAGTACAATATATTGGTGCACACATTTAGAACGGCTAGAGAAATACTGTCTGAAGGCAGTGTGCAACAAATGCAGCTGAAGTTATTGGCCAAACGCCAACAAGATGGCCGCGAGTATGATTTGCCAACAGCAAATGATGTTGCTGCATTGATCGTTGATGATACGGGTCAAGATACTTTTGAACCTGACATTGTCGTTCAGTATCAGAGCTCTAAACTTGAAAGGGTCAGTTATTATCATCCCTCTTTAATGGCATTACAATATCCTATACTATTCCCTTATGGTGAAGATGGATGGCATCCAGCCATTAGTTCTGCCGGTGATGAAGATGCTAACCTGTGGAATGACAATAATTTGACTCAATGTGATTATTATTCTTATCGCCTTCACACTCGGTTTCATGAGTCCAGTTCATTGCTATTGTCTGGAAAATTATTTCAACAATATGTGGTAAATGCTTATGCATTAGTTGAAGCAGAGCACCTTGATTGGATTAGAAACAACCAGCACAAGTCTTCATTATGTTAGCGGCCTGTTGGATTCTTTCCTTCGTGGTGATTCAGATCTATCTTTGACTGGGAAGCATGTTATCTTAGCAGCTTCTCACACTGGTAGTCCGCGCTATAAGTATGAGAACTTTCAAGATGCTATGGCTATTTGTCGTTGGTTGGGCTATCCTGATTTATTTATTACCTTCACATGCAATGCCAATTGGCCTGAAATACAATTTATGGTGGATCTAATTAATACTGATGGTCGAAAGGATGTGAATAGATCTGATGTAATTGCTAGAGTTTTCAAAATCAAGTTGCATCAACTGATGACTGAGATCAGGGACAAGAAAATCTTCGGCAACACTGTTGGACGTAAGTCACCCCAAATGTGTCTTTTTTCCCCTCAATTTATTTTGGTTGCGCTAAATACTTCTCACCCATATTTCTTATTCCTTTCAGATGTTATGGCAATTGAATTCCAGAAGCGTGGTCTTCCTCATGCTCATCTGTTGGTTTTCCTAGCCGTAGAGGATAAATTAAGTGGTGCAAAACGGATTGACTCTGTCATTTCTGCAGAAATCCCTAATCCGAACCTTGACCCAGAAGGTTACCGAGTTGTGACATCATATATGTTGCATGGGCCGTGCGGTGCTTTGCGTCGTAACTCACCTTGCATGGAATCTGGGTTTGTAGCAAACATTTTCCCAAACAGTATTCTGAGCAAACTACTATTGATGAGACTGGTTTTGCAAAATATCATCGCCGTGATACCGGTATATCTTTTCAAGTGAATGATGTCACTCTGGATAATCGTTTCGTTGTCCCATATAATCGATACCTATTATTACGCTTTGAGGCCCATATTAATGTTGAATTCTGCAACAAATCCAGGTATGTATTCTCTTATTATTCTCCCCTGTTCCTGCTTCCGTGGTATTCGTCAAGGTCCAAAATTCGTGTGTTATAGAATGATATACTGATCATTATGGTACTTATAGTATTAGAGTATGCAACTGAAGCTTATTATTATAAATGCGTCAAGGTCTAAAATTCGTGTGTTATAGAATGATATACTGATCATTATGGTACTTATAGTATTAGAGTATGCAGCTCAAGCTTATTATTATAAAGGTGTCATTTAAAAAATCCTATTTTGTATGACTCTGTTTGGAACCTCATAAAGCAACTCCAGTTGAGGGGCACGTGTATACCTTTCATGTTCTTCCCTTCATTATTTTAATTTTTTTTATTAATTATGTTCTTTCTTTCATTATAAAATGTGCTTTGTTTCCTTCTACAATGTGCTTCATCGTAGTGCCTTTCACTGTATACATATAGATGTATTGAACTGTCATCATATTGTATTAATTAAGGGGACATCATATACATTCTCGGCTCATTTATTCCAAATTGGAAATTCACATTGATAGTCGATTAACTAATTCATTTGCTTGATTCAAACTCAATTGCATCATGCTTTGCCCACACTACACTTATTCGACCATACAATTTTGCAGGGCAATAAAGTATCTATTCAAATATATAAACAAACCGGAAGACCGAGCGAAAGCATCTTTGGTTGGCAGTCAAACCTCTATGGGTACTGAAATTGCTGGAACATCTACCTCAGTCAACCGTATAGACGAGATAAAAGCTTTTCTTGATTGTCGATACATAACATCTGGAGAAGCATGTTGGAGATTGTTCAAATTTGATTTGTATACTCAGTACCCCGCTATTTTGCGTATGTCATATCATCTCCCCGGCAAGAATGTTGTGTACTCTAGGCAAACATCAACTCCTCAAGGTTTACTGCATTCAAAACGTGCAAACACTTCCATGCTACTAGGCTGGATGCAGATGAATCAATCATCTATTGAGGCAAGACAATATACATTTGTTGAATATCCGCAGCATTATGTTTGGGATACAACAAAAAGAGAGTGGCACAAGAGGAAATCCAAGTTCTGTATTGGCAGATTATATAACTGTAATCCTTCACCCACTAATGATCGGTTCTACCTACGAATGTTGTTACATGTTGTTCGAGGGTGTACTACCTTTGACGAGATCAAAACAGTCAATGGAGTAGTGCATAAGTCTTTCAAGGAGGCATGTTATGCTCATGGGTTGTTAGCTGAAGATAATGAGTGGAATGACTGTTTGAAAGAAGCTTCATTCTGGGCTTCTGGGTTTAAACTTCGAGATTTGTTTGTCACTATCCTAACTCATTGCCAGGTGTCAAACATTGGAGGCTTTTGGGCTACCAACTGCTCATTATTATCTGATGATATTTTGCATAGTCGTCGAAGGGAGCTGAACATGCCTAACTTGGTTATGAGTGAGGATCAATTGAAGGACTGCTGCTTGCTGGAAATAAACAAATTGCTATCAAGACACTGCAAATCTCTATATGATTTTCCTGGTTTGCCAGTTCCGGCTTCTCTGAATTTGGTCTCTTCATCAAATAGAATGATTGCAGAGGAACTTAGCTATAATGTCGAAGATCTTCGTCGTCAGTTTGAGGACAAAGTGAGCAAGCTAAATTCCCAACAAAGATTGGCATACGATGAAATTATTGACTCTGTATATACTGACAAAGGAAAATCATTCTTCATTGATGGACCAGGAGGAACTGGAAAGACGTTTCTATGGCAGGTTATTTGCATGAAATTGCGATCAGAGCAAAAGATTGTTTTATGTGTTGCTTCTTCTGGAATTGCAGCTTTACTAATGGATGGTGGTAGGACAGCTCATTCTCGCTTTCATATCCCAGTAGATTTGGATGGAAGATCAACATGTAACATTCAACAAGGTACTGAATTAGCAGAGTTAGTTCAACGTACTTCATTAATCATTTGGGATGAAGTTGTTATGTCACATAAACATTGTGTTGAAGCAGTTGACAAGACATTGCGGGATATTTTACGCCCTCGGTTTCAGAATAGTCAGGATAAGCCCTTTGGAGGTCTTACTATAGTTTTTGGTGGAGATTTTTGACAAACATTGCCTATAGTACTAAAGGGAACACGTGCTCAGATTGTCAACGCATCTATCAAGAGGTCTTACTTATGGCATCACTTGAGGGTGATAAAATTAATTCAGAACATGCGTTTAGCTTGAAATAATTGTTCTCCACAAGAAGCTCAAGAGATTGCTGACTTCAACAACTGGCTTCTACAAGTTGGCGATGGAAGAGACTCAAATGTTTTTGGTGAGTCTACGATTCCTATCCCCCCTGAATTGTTAGTCCACCAAGAAGTTGATCCTGTTGTTGATATAGTATGTTCAACATACCCTGATCTGAATCTGAATCATAGAGCCCCGAGTTATTTGGTTAGTCGAGCTATTTTGGCTCCTCATCATGATATGGTATCTGCAATAAATGCTTATGTTTTAGAAAAATTTCCTGGTGATGAGTTCACATACTACAGCTCAGATTCAATACAGCTCGATCATGGAAACCAAGAGGTTGTAGATACTGATTATACAGTTGAGTTCTTGAATACTTTGAAGATTGGTAATTTTCCAGAGCATGCACTGAAGCTCAAAGTTGGGTGCCCACTGATTCTGTTACAAAATATGGACCAAACTACAGGACTTTGCAATGGCACAAGAATGATTGTAAAGACTATGGGGAAATGGTTCATTGAAGTTGAAATAATGACAGGGACACATGTTGGAGATCGGGTATTTCTTCCTAGATTGACATTGTCGACGTACTACAAGAGTTTGAACTTCACTTTATCCAGAAGACAATTCCCCATTGCGCTTTGTTTCGCAATGACCATTAATAAAAGTCAGGGGCAGACACTTGATCATGTTGGCTTATGTCTTCAGGAACAAGTTTTTTCTCATGGTCAGTTATACGTGGCTTTATCAAGGGTTACAACAAAACAAGGCATCAAGATTCTTAGCTCCCATGCTACCGACGATAATACAAAGGCGATGAAGAATATTGTATATGGGGAAATTTTTGATTGATTCTGAAATGTGGGATACAGATTAGGCCTTTTGTACTGCCTTTCTCTGCCTGGATTTCCACAGTACTCGCCTTGCTTCTTCCATTTTTACATTTCTCGGCCCTCTGTCAATTGAACTGGAACATATATTCTCATAACACTATTGCTCATCTACATTTTGGGACCAGAAATCGTTATATGTGCTGGTAGATTTTATAGCAAGCTTACCTTTTTCCTCTCCTTCTGCTTTCGTGCATGCTTGGATAATATGTGTTCCTCAGATATACAAAGTTTTCCAATGATTCTCGACCGTATAAGCACCATCAGTGGATTCTATAACAATTTTTGCTCAGCCTGTTCACAAAATAATTCATGTGCGTAAACTTTACTTCCTCCAAAGATTTTGCTATTTATATGCACATGTAGCTATTATTCCATTCAAACTAAAGCTTTCATTTTTTTTTTGTTCTCATAGTCCTAAATGTTTAACACGCCGGCCCCACCATCATTCACAGCTAACCTAGACAAAATTGTACACCCCTACGAGGGAAATGCCTTCTCCCCACCATTTGACAGTCACTATCACCGACTCCAAGCTCCCAGCGAGAGTTTATTCCTTTCAACTCACAACCTCAATTCCTGTGACTTGATTTCGGAGGAGCTCAAACAAGAATCATTTCATCGAGCCAAAAAACATAGTAAACTCCACCCCAGTTACTTGGTTAACACTTAACAGTCATACATATATTGATAATAGTTAAGTTATCAATTTACTCCATTAAATCTAGACTATATATAATACGTATTTTACGAATTTTATGTGTTTAATTAGGTAACTTTAAATGAACAAGAAAAAAAGTTATTGCTTCACAATGATAAGGAGTCGTTAGTGTAGTAAAATGTGTAAGTTGGTAATGAGTAAGGAGTAAGTTACTCAATGCGCCGACACGAACAACCCGCAACCCGATCCGCCAGCAACGCACCCGACCCAAAACCTGATGAACCTGTAATTCAATTTACCAGCAACCCGATTGAACCCGAACCCGCAACCCATTTGAACCTAAAACCCAACTAACTTGCAAACCATTTGAACCCGAACCCGATGAACCCGTACTAGATGAACTCGCAACCCATTTGAACCTGAACCCGATTGAACCCAACCCAAACCCGCCCGATTTGCTTATGATGCTCTAAGTTGGCATTTTCTCATGGCGAAAACTTGATCCTTAAAAACGTATTATTAAGCAGACTATTTATATTTATATTTAAACAGTATTTTTATTTATTTATTTACTATTTTAATAAAAAAACATTTCAATCAAACCAAGCGCCACAGTTGCTTTTCAGGGTTGATTTATGTGTTGTCTTCACAAGGCCCATTTCACCTGTAAGTGTACAAATGGGCTTCAAATTTTCTAAGTCCACCGTCTTTAATTGATAACCACAAATGACATCTCCTTCAAATTTAATTACCACCAGAGTATTAGCTATTAAGATAAAACCCCAACCCTAATTACATTCCCAATCCCACGAACAGCTTCGCAACCTTCACCTACCGCCCAAAGTGTCTCTCCCTCATCATCCTTACCTTACCAGAATCTTGATACTTACACTGACAAAGTTCGTCAGTAGATTACCCCTTCTACTCATTTGTCTTCCATGATGACCCTCTGTTTACGCAAAATAATATGCCTGCATCGTGCGGAATTTCAAATCTGCCCACGTCCACTCTTACAGCAGTTATCCCGCCCGATTCCCTTACCCGGCGTCCATGATGGAAGCTCTGGAAGCGGTTATCCGAACCATCCATATAAAAGGCCCTTAGTGAGCGTTGTGGTTCCCTGGCCACCAGAACCAATTTGGCAGTTGGTAAGTTCTCCACATCAACTCCTCCACTGAAGTAAACACCATAACTCGTGTTTAGCAAATCTTTCCTTGCTCCTCCAATTTTTTTACTCTGCATCTCTTCACGATTTTCTTCTTCTCTAAAAACTTTCACTCTCATTTGCCTTAGTTTGACTGAATGCTACAAGATGGAATTCACATCCATAGCCGACCTCACCACAGGCTCAACAAACTGCAGGCTTCAATGTCGTGTTTCCCGTCTGTGGGTTGCTGTAAATATCAACACAGATATGGTTTCCCATTTGGATATGATCCTCGTGGATTCAAAGGTACCATTCAGCTCGCCATTTCATTTATTTCCTTAAAACAACTCTCTCTCTCTCTCTCTCTCTCTCTCCTATAGCTTCTAAATCGTTTGTAACGCATCAGGGAAATGACATATGGGTGCAAATCCCTCCTCTGCTGATGGACACCTTCCAACCTCTGCTGAGGGATCAAGAAGTCTACATTTTCAGCGACTTCAACGTTTTGTTCACATCATTGACATATCGTCCCATAGCCAATGAATATATCATCCATTTCTCTGGAAAACCAACCGTTGAGCATGTTCCAACCGTGCCTCTGTCTATCCCTACTTTCAAATTCACCTTCATGAAGGCAAGTGAGATGAAAGCCAACTACAAGAAGACCACTGTACTCTCAGGTTTGTTTTACTCTGCAAACCTTTTGCGGTCATTTCATGTCATTTGCCCTGTGTCATCTTTCGGGTTGTTTCTCCGTCGATTAATATTGTGAACGACCTACTTCAGATATTGTTGGCCAGCTAATGGACTCCACTGATAGAATGTTTTCTTGCAAAGGTGGACGGAAATCCACTCGGAAGGTTATTAGAATGAAGCTCATTGAGTGCGTCAACCTCCTTCGCTAAAAACATGGCCATACAAATTGAATACGAGTCACAATCCTACTACAATTGACAGTTTCTGGCCATTTTTACAATATTTATGCAGGGGTGATGAGGTCAAAGTTGTCTTGTGGGGAAGACTTCTACCAAAGTTGGAATCCATTGTGAATGTTGCAGGAGAATCAACAGTTGTCCTGGTCATTTCTTCCATATACGTAACAGAATTCAACGGTCAGCCAGTTCACTTTTGTACTTTCTCACTTTTGACAGACGTGCCTGGATATGTAGTGATTCCATTTCCAATTTGCAGGAGAATATTCCTTCTCCTCCTCGGTATCCACTGTTTTGTTACCCTATATTGATATTCCTGAAGTCAAAGCTTGCCATGCAGGGTTTGTTTCCTATCTTCAAGTATCATGTCATTCACCCACTGGTTATAATTTCTAAACACATATTGACATAGTTTTATCAATAGGATTGGTCCTAACAACCCACCTGTTTTGGTGGAGGCACCACCACCACCTGAAATCCCAGTTGCTACCATGCCACAACTTCAGGAATTAAGCATGGATTTTAAAAATGAGGTCACTTCTCTGTTGTTTTACTTTACTTTGTAAATAGAATTCACACCCCGCCAATCATGACATTCAATTTTTTCGTCAGGGTAATGTTTACTCTGTTGAATGCAAAGTGGTGGATGTCCATCCTATTTGGTGCTACATGGGTTGCCCTACTTGTGTGAAAAAATTTCCTGATGGTCGAGATGCCTTCTATTGCAACAAATGCAAGAGAACTACAAACATTAAGGCTGCCAAGTAATGTTCTCAAATCTAAATTAAATTGTCATTACTAAACTTATTTCAGGAGATAGACATTGGCTAACGACCCTTTACTATTTATTGCAAGGCCTAATACTATTAGGTACCGACTCCGTCTTCGTGTTCAGAGTGAATCCATCTCAGCAACTTTTGTGGTATTTGAACAAGTTGCGGAACGCTTCTTCGGTGCAAGTGCTGACAACCTATTCCAGCTAAATGGTAATCAAATTGATGTGCCACCTCAGCAAGTACTGAAGATACTTGGTAACACCGTCAAATTCCACGTCAAATTCAAAATCAACATGTACAGTAGCACTCAGCCTGATTTCATAGTGGTCCAAATTCCAGAAGACCCCGCTGCTGTAAGTTCCCTTTTCTCTCCTTCCAGCTGGTGTTTTTTAAATCAATTATATGAATGAATGAAAATCGTTGACTCACGCTACATCCACAATTAATAAACTTCTGGAGACATAGCGCCAAGGTATTTTATTAATACAAATCAAACCATTGCTATAGTAGGATTATGAGTGCAATTCCCTTATCTTTAAGACCAATCATTCTTACAATTTGCTGATGTGTCCCGTCTGCATCCATTTCCATTTCCATATCTCAATTTTAACTTTTAACTTTTAGGATACAACTTCGGGATTGCACAAAGATAGCTCCTCCCAATCTATTAATAGTGGCTTAGAGACTTCAGGGACATCATCTCATCTGTCGGATCTCAGCGATGAAGTTCAGCATGATACACCCTCAAATGCAACACCTTCTAATGCCCTGACGCGAAAGCAGCCTATGCTCCCATAGAAGACTGCTTCTATAATGACCTCTCTTACCAAACTGTTATGCTCATCGTACTTTCGCATTTCTACCATTTCCATCTATCCCTGCATCAGACATTACAATATTTGCTTGAGTTTCCAAGACTAGGAACATGGACGTTATCTTTGTTTAGTACCATTTTCATATCTACTCAAATAGACTTGGATATAGGCCATCCAATAGTAGTATTGTCAAGCTTTGATGTGGAAAAGACACTGTTTGTGTGTTTCTTCCATTATAGCTTTGCTGTTTAATGTATATCTTCCTTATTTTCCTTCATTATCCGGATATATTTGTGCAGGGGGTCTGTTTTGCATTGATTTTTTTTTTGGAGGGGTGGTCTCGAATGAGATCCGCCACTAAGCCCTTTGGTTGAGTCATCTTCCAAAAAAAATGGCAGCTTCCTTGGTTTGCTCTTACTCACCTGGCTGCCATTATTTAAGTCCTCTCTTGCTTACACCAATATTTTAAACAATTTACTACCATTTTCGGATGCGTGTGAAACCCATATCTTTTGTCCTAGAAATAATATTCACGTATTAGCACAAAAGTTACTACTAACAAAATTCTAAATTACATATTAAAACCCGCTAAACTACTACAGATTATTAGAGAGGGTATGAGATATACAAACCCACTGCCACACTACCTAATAGGGGTGACAATCGGTTTCCCGGTTACCGGTTTAACCGATAACCGTACCAATAATCGGGATGTATCGGTATTCGGCAGCGTATTGAAGCATTTCGGTATACCGGCGGTTTACCGGTATACCGATACCGGCGTCGAGGGGTGGAGTGGAGAGACAAAAACCCTAAACAAATCAATAGATCCAACCACCCTTCTCCCTGTCTGACAGCCTCCCTTCGCTCGACTTCCTCCCCAACCCTTCTCCCTGTCCAACGCCGACGCCGCCTCCACCTCTCCATGACCTCGCCTTCCCTCTCCGAACCCGGCTCCCTCTCCACACTCTGCCTTCATTCGACCCAATTCGTGACCTCGCCTTCCAAGGATGCGTCGCAGTCGATTCGTTGTCGAAGAGCTGAAGCAGAGGGTCGATCTTTCCATATCTGAGCACGTGGACTGCAGAAGGACACCTCGATCTTTCCAGATCTGGTGGGAGCAGCAGGAGCGAAGGGAGGGCTACGACGAGATCCTGGAGGGATGGTTGTCGCCTCACTCATCTCCTCTTTCTCCTTGCCGCCGCTTATTCGGCACAAATCGTACAAAATTGATATTTGGATCGATTTGTACCGGTTCCAATATATTTTGATTCAATTTTGGTTATGTGAATCATTTGAAGCATGGAGAGAAAAATGTTTGTAATTCATTTCAACCAAACCTAATCAAACCAACTCAACCAAATATGGTTTTAGTCCAGTTTGCATCCTCAATTTTTTCTTTGATTTTCGTTTGGTATTTGTCAAATATACATAAATGCTATTTATGTATTCTTAATTTTTTTTCATTAACCCTTGCACGCATACACTACTTCCAAATATTGCATTCTACCATTTGTTTCTATACGTAGAAATCAAGATCAATGCATGCATCAAATAATGATGTATTCTATTCTGTAGACACCAAACAGTGGGCTATTGGGCCTTGTGTAACATAACAATGATCAAAGATAGCATCTTACTCAGCCCACAAACATGATTAAATAACCCTGACATTACAGCCCAAACGTATCTCGATTACCACCACCATATCCAGCAATATTCATAATTCACTTTCAGAAGTCGCCTCTCCATCTCTGCCGCTACAAATCCCTCAACCAACCACCCCATCGTACATCTATCATCAAAATCGTCGCGCTCTCATCTACCTGACCTGAATCGCCAGTCCTACACTGTCTTTTCACTTCTGATCCAATGAATCTCGCCGGCTCTTTCGCACTATTGTGCTCCACGATTTGGAAGATACCGTCAACACCGAGTCCCACGCACACAAACAGCTATTGTCTTTGGCTCGGCGCGGAAAGGAACTGTCGAGAGCTCAATTATACCCGTTTCAAAGGTATGTCCTCCACTCACATTACTCCGGAACCCAATTTCGGTTTCACAAACTATTTGGTAACTGCCGAGCTACCCACGTTGTTCAATCAACTGCACTGATCCATTTAAATTGTTGTTCGCACCATCAAAACTACTCTCACACTTCCTCATCTTCTACCACATCATCAGAGAATCACCTCGGCAAACTACCCCTTTATCTGTTCAGCAGAAATTATGTTTGACCCGTTATCCCGTATCTTTCCCCACCAGGGTCGACAATGGAGAGTAAGAGTTCGGGTTTTAAGGATGTGGCCAACTCTGCCACCCAACACATCTACCTTATCATGGATGAATCTATTATTGATATACAACAAGGTAACTTGAAAATTACTCACTCGGATTTTCTCATTTATTCCCCCTTTCACCTCTACCTATTTCTTATACTCTAGGGAGCTTCAATGGAAGCAACGATCCGCGGCTACAAAGAGGATGCATTTCAACACATCACGGAAGGGAAAATCTATTCACTATCAAATTTTGACGTGGAAGACACCTCAATTCACTTCAGAGTTGCCATCTCCAACCGACAAATTATCTTCACACCAACCACAGTGGTAGAAAAACTCAGAGACTCACTGGATATTCAAGCATTTAGCTTCCGTTTCCTAACCCCTTCTCAGTTTCAAGCGGCTTATGAGAATGACCAATATTTGTCAGGTTTGGCATATCAAATACACCCTATTTCCTTCAAATTATCTTCCCGTATGCATTATTTGTTGGAAGTTGGCGCCAAATCTAGAGTTTGAGCTATTCCCAGAACTATGTCGTTTAGATTAGTCTTGTTAGAAGTCATGTGATGTGTCGTTTTGATAGAGTCCTGTTGCTGGAGAACCTGCAGATCGTGCAGAGCTTCCTTGAGTCAAGTTAGACTTGTTAGTTTGAGGTTGTTAGTCATGAGTCGAGTTTATAGGAAGGAGTGACGTTGAGGTAGTTGTTCTGAGCCGGATCTGTTGGCTGGAAACTACTGTATTTAAAGTTCTTTCTGTTTCAATGAATAAATGTCAGATTGCAATACTTTAAGGCTTTCATTGTGGTATCAGAGCCTAGTGCAAGCTGTAACCAAGATCCAAACGAGTGTGTTGTGAGTTCAAGAGAAAGAAAAAAGGGAAATTCTGCCTGGGAAACACGAGTGTTTAGTGAGGTATATAGATTTGGGGTGAGTGCCAGCACTAAGTTGTGTGTGGTGTGAGAATTGAGAGGATTGAAAATGAGTGAGAACAGCAGCTTTGCACAAGTGTGCATACCAAAATTTGATGGTGATTTCGAGCACTGGAGTTTGCTGATGGAGAACCTTCTTCGTTCTAAAGAGTACTGGGGTGTTGTCAAGGATGGATTTCAGGAGCCAGCTGCAGATGCACAACTGTCAGCAGTGGAGAGCAAGACACTGGAGGACCTAAGGTTGAAAGACTTAAAGGCAAAGAACTATTTGTTTAGCTCAATCGATAAGGTAATTCTGAAAACCATCACTAAGAAAGGGACTGCTAAAGAACTCTGGGATTCTATGAAGCTGAAATTTCAAGGTAGTGCTAGAGTCCAGAAGGCTCAACTACAGGCCCTTAGGAGAAACTTTGAGCTGCTTGAGATGAAGGAAACTGAGACTGTGACTGAGTATTTTGGTAGAGTTATGGTGATAGCTAATTCAATGAGAAGCTGTGGAGAGAATCTGAGTGATGTTCAGATTGTGGAGAAGATTCTGAGAACTTTGACTGAAAAGTTCAATTATGTTGTTTGTTCAATTGAGGAGTCTAAAGACATTGAACTACTGACTGTTGATGCTCTTCAGAGCTCCTTAATTGTGCATGAGCAGAAGTTTCATAGGAGGGGTGTAGCTGAGGAAGATCAGGCTCTAAGAACCACCCATGAATTTGGTGGAAGGGGTGGTAGAGGACAAGGTCGAGGAGGGTATGCTGGAAGAGGAAGAGGTCGAGGAGGAAGGGGCTGGAGTAGAGAGAATCTGGAGTGTTTCAAGTGTCATAAACTTGGACACTTCAGACATGAGTGTCCAGAATGGTATAACAACTACCAGGCTCATTACTCCAACTATCAACCCTCTCAAGACAGATCTAATGGCGACATGAAGGAAGATGTTTTGCTGATGGCTAGTGTGGATCATGAGCAGATAAGGTCCAACAGTACTGAAGTGGAAGAAAACAGGTCATGGTGGTTCCTGGATTCAGGTGTAGCAACCACATGACTGGTGAGAAGACGTGGTTCACATCCATTGACACCAGCTTCAGATGCAGTGTGAGGCTGGGAAACAATACCAGATTGGATGCTGTGGGAAAAGGTACCATTAACCTGGTCATTAATCAAGTATCTCTGCTGGTTCAAGGGGTTTTTTATGTTCCAGGATTGAAAACCAACCTTCTGAGTGTTGGGCAAATGCAAGAGAAGGGTTTATCCTTTCTAATCAAAGATGGTTATTGCAAGCTGTTTCATGAAACAAGAGGTTTGCTGCTGCAAACTCAAATGAAGACCAATCGGATGTTTGCTCTTCATGCTGAGCTGAATGAGGAAAAGGGACACCAGTGCTTGCAAACAGAAGGAACCAAGGAAGATTCTCTGCAGCTGTGGCACAAACGATTTGGCCATCTCAACTCTCAAAGTCTGCTGCAGTTGCAAAGAAAGAATTTGGTTCTGGATCTGCCAGTTCTGAAAGGGGAGATTGGAGTGTGTCAGACATGTCTGATTGGCAAACAGCACAGACATTCATTCCCCAAGAAAAGCACATGGAGAGCCACACAGAAGCTTCAATTGGTTCATGCAGATCTCTGTGGACCAATTACTCCAATGTCCAATGGGGGTAAGAGGTATATTTTAACTCTCACTGATGACTTCAGCAGAAAACTTTGGGTCTATTTCATGAATGCTAAGTCTGAAACACTAGAGTTATTTAAAAGATTCAAGGCTCAAGTTGAGAAAGAGACTGGTTTACCTATTGTCAGTCTTAGAACTGACAGAGGTGGAGAATTTATGCTTAATGAGTTTAAGAGCTTATGTGAAGAACAGGGAATAAGAAGACAACTCACTGCAGCCCTTACACCTCAACAAAATGGTGTAGCTGAGAGGAAGAACAGAACAGTGTTGAATATGGTGAGGTGTGTGCTAGAGGAGACGAAGGTTCCTGCTGCGTTTTGGCCAGAAGCTGTGGCCTGGACTATCATGTACTTAACAGGAGTCCCACTACAGCAAATCAAGGCAGAACATCCCAAGAACTTTGGACTGGACAGGTACCTTCAGTGTCACATTTTAAAGTTTTTGGATGTGTTGCCTATGTCCATACACCAGACCAGCAGAGAAAGAAGCTAGACAGCAAGAGTACGAAGTGTCATTTCCTAGGCATCTCTGTGGAATCCAAAGCCTACAAACTATACAACCCTATTACTAAGAAAGTAATAGTCAGTAGAGATGTGGTCTTCGATGAGCAGAAGGGATGGGAATGGAACTCAGAAATCCAACCTGTCTTAACTAGAATAATGTGGGAAGGAAGTGAGGATGAATGGGAAGACTCAGATGATGAAGATGAAGGAAATGACTCTCCTGATGCTCCTACAACAACAGAAGCTTATGAAACAACAGAAGGAGTTGACACAACTCCCTCTACTCCTGTGAATCCAGCTGCAACCACACAGGTCACTCAAGATGAAGAGGAAGAAGATAGTGGCTCACCTACTGATGTGCTTGGACTTCCAGCAGTGTTGGGACCAAGGGTAAGGAAACCTCCCAGCCATCTCAATATGTATGATTGTAGCTTTATGGATGCAGATTGGTGGGCTATGGTGACAATATCAGATGATCCCACATCTTATGAGGAGGCAGCCTTAGATCCTAAGTGGAATGCAGCAATGAAGGAGGAAATGCACTCCATTGAGAAGAACTGCACCTGGAAGTTGACAGAATGTCCAGAGGGAGTCACTCCAATTGGACTGAAGTGGATCTACAAAACAAAATTAAAGGAAGAGGGCATTATGGACAAGCATAAAGCAAGGATTGTGGCCAAAGGGTATGCTCAGAAGCCTGGAATCGACTTCACTGAGGTATTTGCCCCTGTTGCTAGATGGGACACGATAAGAACTTTACTGGCCTTTGCTGCATTTCATGGTTATGAGGTATTCCAACTAGATTTCAAGAGTGGTTTCTTACATGGAGAGCTCTCTGAAGATGTGTATGTAGAGCAACCACCAGGGTTTGTGGTTGCAGGGGAGGAGACTAAGGTTTATAAGCTGCAGAAGGCCCTGTATGGATTGAAACAGGCTCCCAGAGCTTGGTACAGCAAGATTGAGTCATATTTTTTACAAAATGGCTTTGACAGGAGTACTTATGAACACACTTTGTTCATAAAGAGGGTTGGTGCTGATATTCTAATAGTCAGTATCTATGTTGATGATCTTTTGTATACTGGTAACAGTTCTAAACTCATTGCTGAGTTCAAATCATCGATGCAATCAGAATTTGAAATGAGTGATTTGGGTAAGATGAGGTATTTCCTGGGTGTGGAGATTATTCAAGAAGCTGCTGGTACCTTTATCTGTCAGCAGAAGTATGCCAAGGAACTTCTGGACAAGTTCAACTTGGCTGATTGTAATTTGGTTCACAATCCTATCATGCCTGGAACAAAAATGACAAGAGCAGGAGATGGTGTTCTGGTGAATGCAACTGAGTATAAAAAACTCATTGGAAGCTTGTTGTATATGACTGCCACAAGGCCTGATCTTATGTATGCAGTATGTCTCCTCAGCAGATACATGGAGTCACCTACTAGGCAACACATGCTGGCTGCTAAACGAATTCTGAGATATCTGAAAGGGACAATGGAGTATGGAATCTGGTATAGAAGGAAGCATGAAGAAGAGGAGTTAACTGGTTATACTGACAGTGATTATGCAGGTGATGTCGATGACAGGAAGAGCACCAGTGGGTATGCATTTTTCTTGGCAGGAGGAGTGGTTTCATGGGCCTCCAAGAAGCAGCCTGAGGTCACTTTATCCACCACAGAGGCCGAGTTTGTTGCTGCATCCTTTAGTGCAGCTCAGTGTGTTTGGCTTAGAAGGATTCTAGAGCAGATTGGGTGGAAGAATAGTGTAGCTAATGCAACCAAAATTCTGTGCGACAACAGTTCTTCCATAAAGCTGTCCAAGAATCCAGTGCTTCATGGCAGAAGTAAGCACATTGATGTGCGCTTTCACTTCATCAGGGAGCTTGCTAATAGTGGAGTGGTTGTGATGGAGCACTGCAGAACGTATGAGCAAATCGCAGACATATTGACCAAGGCCTTGAAGGTAGAGACTTTTCAGTTGCTGAGAGCCAAGCTAGGAGTTGTGAGTCGTGCTGAATTTGATGATGGAAATGTGAACTGAAGTCAGCTACCTGGCTTCAGTTCAGGGGAGGCTTTGTTGGAAGTTGGCGCCAAATCTAGAGTTTGAGCTATTCCCAGAACTATGTCGTTTAGATTAGTCTTGTTAGAAGTCATGTGATGTGTCGTTTTGATAGAGTCCTGTTGCTGGAGAACCTGCAGATCGTGCAGAGCTTCCTTGAGTCAAGTTAGACTTGTTAGTTTGAGGTTGTTAGTCATGAGTCGAATTTATAGGAAGGAGTGACGTTGAGGTAGTTGTTCTGAGCCGGATCTGTCGGCTGGAAACTACTGTATTTAAAGTTCTTTCTGTTTCAATGAATAAATGTCAGATTGCAATACTTTAAGGCTTTCATTATTCTCACGCATTGCTTTCATCGGCGGTCGTTAGATGTAGTCGGTGAAGTCCATCATACTGAACCAGTATACGAACTCTCCCACGGCCTGCAATACACACGAAGTAAAAACGTCCATCTAAAACTAATTGAGTCAGTCCTGTGCTCCGACTCTTTCAAATAATATTGCAGTGCCATCCATTGATATACCAACTTACATAAGTATTGTTTCTACTGCAGGGGACCCATAATTAAAATTGTACTCAGTGAACCCTTGATTGATCTCTTCCAGACGGTAGTTGGCGACGATCCACAACAGCGTAATGTATGCATATTCACCTCTGTTTACACAGAGATAGGCAGCGGTAATGGATATATAAACCTCCTAATACATATGCCTTTTAACTTCAGATCCTCCATTTTCACATACCTATTTATTGACTTCAATATCTTAATGATAGATGGCTATTATTTTGCTACCTCACATGCCTCTAAGTTATATTTCAACATCAACTATCCAAAATTACACCCATTGTTGAACCGGTAAGATCAAACTTTTGACCAAATATTACATTCATATTACATGTTGTTTGTGTTGAAACCCATGTCAAATCTTCATCTTGATGTCAGCTCGAGAACAAGTCTTATACTACAAAGGAACTACTCCTATGAAGATGCAAAATACATTGCTCAAACCTGCACAGTTGAAGAGCTGAACAAATTTCAACAATCTGAAATGAATTTGGTATACATTTCACCACCCTCAATTTATTTCGCAAAATTATATTGATATATGTACCCACAATTTTGTTCTTGCTGGTTCGCTCTTATTATTATGGGAATAAATATGCATCATTGAACACGTAGGATTTCAATCTCATGCAGGGAACGTACTACTTTGTTCTTGGTTATATCTCCGATCTCAAAGTCGTGTGGACACCAACTAGAAAGCAGTACATTGTCCACCTAGACATTTCCGATCATTCTGCAAAGTGTCCCGTCTCATTCATATCATGTAATTTCAGAACCATAGGCCATGCCATAATCAAGCCGAACGACGAACCGTATTGGGCAACGCACTTCGAAGAGGAGCTCAATTCTATCAAAGGAGAACCATTTAGTTTCATGGTCAAGGCTCATCATGCCTGTTTCGTGGGAAGCAAATCTCACATACTTCTTATTGCAATGTTTAGATAGAAATCACTTTTACCTACGCACTGTAATGTTGTTATTAGCTTCTACATTATGAACACCTTGCTTCTTTCGCAAATTCACATCTACATTAGATTCTTCCGGCATAACTGAAGCAACCCCTTTGCAACGGATTGCAGTGATACAACCCAAAACTTATACGGCCAACGGAACCCGGCCAACAGGCCGGGCCATGGACTAGTCTAGTTGATTAATACATTGGATCCGAATTAATGCACGGGTTGGCAACCATTAATTAGGTCTCAGTCTGCATATTTTATTTGCTTGTATTTTTGTTCATTTGAGTCCAAGAAAAATGAAAGAAAGATATATTTTTGAATCGACACGGAAGTAGACTAAATAGCATCAACTATCTAACATTCCACACCTTTTCCGGATAAGATACTGCATATGTTTGGCCCGGCTTTTAGAAATGCTTTTCGACTTCAAAAGCTGAAGTAGGGTCAAACACCTCTAAAAGCTCGACTTTTGAAAAGCCGAAAAGCGCTTTTGTATCACATAAAAGCAGAAGCTCCGAATTTGAAACTTCTGCGAAAAGCTGTTTTGAAAATACAAGATTATCCTTAGCATATTTTAATTTTATTTCAGAAAATATAATTTTCCTTCATTTATATCATTTTAAAAATAAAATAAATTATAAAATCATATTATTTAATATAAAAGAAATCTAACAAGATCCATTTGTACCACTTTTTATTGTTTAAAATTTTTATTCATATTTTATATTATAAGTCCTTTATAGTCATTTTACACAACCGCTCATATTAAAAAACACTTCTAATAGTTTTACAGCCAAACACTAACCTGCTTTTTTTGAAAAGTACTTATCTAAAAGATCCAGTCAGAAGCTGCTTCTGCAAAAGCTACAGCAGGGCCAAACTAAGCTACTATCTGCTTTGGGTCATGATCCTCACGGATTTTATCTTGGGGCGCATATCAAATTGACTTCCTATAAGGTCACTCATCCTTGCAGTGCTCTACAACGAGCACGTTTACTCTGTTTCATCTCAAAACACATCTTGTGAGCTAATATCGATTTCTTTTTTCTCTCATTTCGCCCTATAGATTTCTTTATTTCGTAAAAAATCCATCGATTTTTCTTTTGATTGAAAATCAACTCAAGATAAATGGCTTGCAGAATGAAACAAATATGTCACAATGGTTTCTTTTAGTGAGTTGCATTCATCATTCGTCATTACACTCCATTTTAGCAATTTCTATGGAGCGGTTTCTGTACTCGCTACTCACTAATGCAACAGCATCCTCGAACCTCGTCGCCATCACACAAGCTCACACTCTGGCAGTTCTCTGCTGCTTACAACCGGCCACGTAACCCGTTTAATCCGCCTTTTCAACACTCTGCTTCGATATTACTCCCTCAGCGATTCCCCACATAAAGCTTTCTCCCTCTACATCCAACTCCAGTCGTTGTACTGCTTCCATTGCTCATAATCATCTCGACAGCTTCTCATACAGTTTCCAGATGAACGCCGCCCTCAAGCATCTTCTCTAGCTATCGGGACCCAGTTCCAGGGCTCATAGTCATTCTCACGTCTACGTCCAGACCGCGGCGTTGAACATGTACGCGGCTGGAGGCGTTTTGTCTGATGCGCTGCGGGTGTTCGATGAAATGCCTGACAGAAATTCGGTTACTTGGAATGTTTTCATAACGGGATTGGCGAGATGGGAAACTGGAAAATGCTAAGTCTCTGTTTGATGAGATGCCGGAGAAGAATGTTGTGATGTGGACTGGGATGATCGATGGGTACGTAAGGATGGGGAGGTTTGGTGAGGGTTTGGATTTGTTTCGGAGGATAGTTTGTTGTGAGAACATGAGGCCTAGTGAGATTACCATTCTTGCCATAATGCCATCTGTTTCTCATTTGAAAGAGCTGAAGGCTTGCAGGTTGGTTCATTGTTATGCGGAGAAAAGAGGGCTGATTGCGTTTGACATAAGGCTTGCTAAGTCGATCAAAGATACTTATGCGAAATGTGGGTGCATCATGAGTGCTTCCAGGTTTTTTACTACTTGAGAGAGGAAGAATTTGGTATCAGGGACTCAAGTTCTTGGAAAAGATGGTGCATGAGTATCAAGTTTTGCCTGATATCAAGCATTATGGATGTTTAGTAGACATGCTGACTAGGTTGGGCAGATTAGAGGAAGCAGAAATTTTGGCGCTGGAGATACCTACAGAGATTGCTAACGTCATGATCTGGAGAACTCTTCTCGGAGATTGTAGCTTTCATGATAACATTGAGATGTCCGAAAGGGTAACAAGGAAGATATTGGAGATGGAGAGAGGATGTGGAGGTGACTAAGTGGCACGTGCTGATACATAACATTTTTGTGGTGCTGGGAGGTTTGGTGAAGCTGAAAGGTTCAGAAATTTGATGCACCAGAGATATGCACTAAAACTTCCAGGCCAGAGTTCGGTATGATCCGTAGGCAATGCCGGTCGATTGATCAGTGAGCCTGACGCCAAGGTTTTTTTCATCTGCTATTACCACTTGATCAATTCCTCGGGGTTGAAATTTCATGCCATATTTGGTGCCTGTTATAAATAAAAAAAATACTAATGCGCTGCATGCAAAGGATTAACACTGTGGGTGACGAGTGAAACAAAACATCATAGTTTTGCGAGTCAAACTTTCTTTGTCGAAGAGAGCAAATATTCCCTCTATGTAGTAGGGGAATGCTGTTCTGTTGCTAGTAAGCTAATGCCAAATCAACAACATAACAGCGATGGTAAATAGTGCAAGAAGCGTCATATTCCCTCCTGGCACACTGGATGACCTGAAAAATCAAAAATATGAAAGCCAAAATTTCAATATCTTTGTCTGTCTGTTGAGTATGGTAATTTAGAAGCCATTCTGGATGGGCCCTAAATGGCCATGTAGAATTGCATAATGCAGGAGTTGCAGATTCTTGTATATACCTATTATTATGCCTGGATTGCTGAATGTATGCCATCACTGGTGGAAGTATGCCAAACAGGAAGCAATTTGCATACACTCCAGCAAAATCAACAGCTCTGGAAAACGTTGAAGGGAAGAAGGATCCGATGATAATAGGAACTCCAAGCACCATTGCCATGACCAAACGTGCGGCAGCAGATCCTTCAGCTTTTCCTGGTGGTCCTTCAACTTCCGAGCCACCTGAAGACCTTGATCTGTCGAAAATTACCATTCCGGGATTTCCGGGACCATCAGCACCAGCAAATACCACCAAACCTGCCTGCCCACTACGCATCCCCGGTACTAATGTAGTTTTAAAAGTAAAGCTTGTTTCCTTCTCAGAATCTGCTTTCCCAAATATTAGGTCTAAAGTGTCAAGAAGCTGTTTGGGGAAGCTAAGAGCGTAACCTATCAAGCTAGTTGCCAGAGCAGAGAATGCAAATCCTTGAACAGCAGGTAGAGCAGAAGGATTGACAGAAAGCAAGAGCGAGATTGGATCAGTGGTCGATGCAGCCATATTATTAACCCTAGCAAGTCCCAAAACAATTAAATTCCATGACAAAACCATGATGAGAGGAACAGCACCACCTATCAAAACTGCCTTTCGAGCTTCAGAGACAGTATTCCCAGCAATCTTACATATGAAAGGTGTAATCACATGGAAGCCTAAAGTGAGCACTGCAACAGGCACAGCAGGCAAAATTGAAGAAACCCTCCAGGACGATCGAGCAAAAGAGCTCAACACATTTGCTCTAGCAACATACAAACCTACTGTGACCAAAGCTGTTATGGAGAAAACCATGAGCAAGCATAAGAACCGATTTGCAGTGTCGATGACATTAAAAGGAAAGAAGGCGATTATCACCCCAGCAGACAGTGGGAACAATCCATGAGTTACCAACGGGTTCATCATGGGAAGCCACTGAGATAAAATTGATCCAATCCCAGAGACACAAGCTACCAACAGAGCAAAATTCAGGCTTGCGTAAACGACGGCTACCAAAGGACCAAAATGGCGTCCTAATGATCTTGTTGCAAGTCCAGTAAAGCTAACCTCCGAAACTCCATCCTCTTGCATTGCATCAAAGCTCAGCTCAGCTACGAGAATGATTGAGGAGATTACGTACAGCCAGCACAAGACAATGGCAATGGTTGATGGTAATGCACCAGCTTTCATAGTTGCAGCAGGTAATCCCAGCATTCCTGGGCCTACTGCTGTGCCAATGACTAAAGTTACAGCTCCCCAAAAGTTCTTCTTCACCCCTTGTTGGAGATCTTGGGAGGTTTCAACCACTCGAGTTATTGGAATGAAGTGTTTGTCTACCGTTTCATCAGGAAGTGAAGCAGGAGAAGCGTTTTCTGGGTTGCATCTTGGGATGAGAAGCGAAGGTTTGCCCCATAAGGTGACGAGCTTCCTTGGAGTAGCGGAAATGGAGATTCTTGGGAGTTGAAAACTGAATTTTGAATCGTTGGTAATGGTTCTGGGTTTTGGTTTCCACAGAAAGTGGAGGTGAGATGGTGGATGAAGATGGAAAAGCATTGTGTTGCAAAGGCGAGATTTTTAGCTTTGTTCAGAGTTTCAGGGCATTGTTCTGATGAAGGTTATTGTATCTTGAATGTGGGAAATATTGGCCTTTGTGTCTTCGAGCTTCCGAGGCGAGAAAAGTAGCAATCAGTGAAATGAAAATGGCTGACAGACCTTTGCCCTCTTGTTGTGATCAGATTAAAAACCTAGTCAGCTTATGTTGGCTGCTGCATCTTCTCAGCCGCCAAACTGGGAGGGTAACTTTACCTAGAACTATTGGGCTAGGGCCCACCGACATTAATAGTTGCTCAAATTCTCAAAATAGTGTACGTCGACAAAATTACAAGTTAGGTCACTGACTTATTAATTTTTTGAAATTTATTATTAAAATTATTTTTATTTCATTCGTAGTCTCTAAGATTAGTTTAATTGTTCAACTTTGGTCATATGTCATCCAATTCTATAATATGACGGTCAATTCTTATAGTAGACGATAAAATGGGTGATGTGGGAATTGAAAATATAAAATTTAATCATTTAAATTTTCCACCTCGTAATCACAATAATCAAATCAATCATCAATCAAACATCATCAAACAATACATATATGTAGTTTCTCTTTCAGCATCCCTTTAATTCACTTTTTCCCGGCTCCAGCGCACACCGCGGAGGGGTCTTTTGGTCATTTCCTTTTTAACTCATGGGCCGAAGATTTGATTTATGGCCAATACTATGGTGCCGCGGTAAAAATTGTGGCATCGGTGACGCTGAATATAATTGGGCCACGTGGAGCTGCTGTGGCATGATTAGTTTCATTCATCTCAACCAAACCCAGGTGGCCCGTTAGAAATGGCTCAGTCGACATGTCCCAAAGTAACGGCAGAGGGATTTTCCGTTGGATGCTTTGTTTTTTTTTTTTTACTTGATTAAATTAAAAATCATGTAACTGCGTAAAAATTAGAAAACAGAATACGCTGATCGACACCGAACGAGCCAGAAGCTTCATCGATCTCCCTCGTCGGCGGCCGCGACAAAATCACTCCCGGCGACTTGTCCGTCGTCGTCGACTTATCCTTGGAATAGCAATGCCGCCAAAGTACCCGACTATCGCAGGTAAAATAAGAGATCCGGCTCCCTCAACGCTGTCCGCCTCGCTTTGCACCGTTTCTGTTGAAATCGTCAAAACCAAGTTGAACAAATTTCTCCACCAATGCAAAGCCTTCCAGGTAAACCAAGAAATCTTTATTTAAGGAGGTAGGAGAATCATGTTTGTCGTTTGAGTTCCCTTTTTTTTTTTGCTCATTTGGGAGGCTCGTTTTTTGTTGTTCATTTTTCCTCCTGGGATCGAGCAGCAGGGGAATCAGTCGACTGTGTCCATTAGTTTATGAGAGGGGCTTGCCTTCTTGGGTTGAGGAGAATATAAGGAAATCAATTAAAAACTTTTGCAGCAGTGAAAATAACACTTACTTGCTGCTGCTCTACTCACCAATAAGAAAACGGAACCAACGCATACTTGCGATTGCCTTCACCGAAAAGGGCTTTCACTAGACTTAGGTGCGATGAGGAGGGTACGGTGTTCCTTCCTTCTGTGAGTAGTTATGCTTATGCTGATGTCTCCTGCTCCCTGTACTGTTCAATTTGTTGCTTGTATTTATTCATACTAAAATTCAAGTAATCTCACTGAATAAAAACATTTTTAATGATCCAGTGGCTTGTTTCATATGATTTTGAAGGATCCGGCTATACTTCCAATTTAACCTATCCTTTTTATTGTCTACTGTGAAGTGGGTACTGAGTAAGAAGGCACTTTTGCAACGCATCGTTTAAAATACTTATGAACCCAGCTGTTCAAAGCATACCTCTCTGGGCCTGTTGGCTAATTCTAAGGGTGGTATCTTCTCAAATTAGTTTATTTTGTCAGTAGTAAATAATGCACTAACGGTCTTGAATCCAACGAATCATGTAATTTGACAATGTGTTAAAAAGAAGTAGCATATGATCCTCCTTTGATATCCCAAAAATTCCACTTAATCATATAGAAGATTGTGGAGCAAGTATTGGAAGCTTGGAATGCAATATCCATGTCACTTTTAAGTAGAAGACAGTCTGCATTTTTTTAGAGACATATGCCTACATAAACAGTCCGTTGAATAATGTTTGGTGCAGGTTCTGCAACAGCAACTTGAGCAGTAGAGAAGCTGATGAGTCTAGTAGATTTAGTCAGTGGAGATATTGTCTCATTTTGGAACCTTAGAGATAGGATGTATGAGCTAGTGTTGTCTTTAAACTAATTATGCTGTCTGTGAAATGGTTCAGTAAAGTATCTGAAGCTTTGCTGCATGCTTTGCTTGGTCGAAGGCATTCAGGTCACCAATTGAGATGGAGCCACGTATTGAAGAAGCTTACCCTATTGTGAAAACCGAGGCAGACGAAGATACTACTCCAAGCTTCAAAGATTATGTCCATCAAGCCATTAAAAGGATCATTGGTATCTCTTCTTCCTCGGAAGAGGATGACTCCGATGAGCCTCTTGAAGATATAGATAGCCAAGCTAAGGAGAATAGTGCCAACAAGCAACTATTGCTTTATGATCCCGGTGCTAGCAGTAATATGTAACATCCCATTTCGGCTAAATCCATATTTCGATCGCTAGAAAGTTCGCGATTTAAAATCGAGCGTTTTGATAGTATTTCGACGAAAATTGAATTATAAATCGATCGGATAAGTATAGGTATTAATTATATATATATATATATATATGGTGACTTCTACGGTGCCTAGGGCAAAATCCGGGCACGGGTACCTTGGCCGATCTTAACCATTCGTTTTCAATCTCCACGGCTCACGTTTGTTAAACCTTCCTGCGCACTAAATAACTAAACAAATTACAAAAAGGCTCATGCCGCGTTAAGTCTTTTTTCATCCTAGTCCAACTAACTGACCCGATTAAATTAAATGGATTAAGACTGCAAACCCAATTGGGTAGACCCACTGCCGCCCTAACCAATTTCCAGTCTCCCTAACCAATTACACGATCCCTCTCTCATCTTGGAGGGACGCCCCTTCACAGTTCCAAGAGAAGCTCCCCATCCAATTTGAACTCCCAACTTAATCAACTTTTTGAATCCCAATTACCCGCATCCACATTCGACGTAGATTGAATTTCCCAATTTATTTTGTCTTGTTTCTTCTTCGCCATTTTATTTCCCCTCGCCTATCTCTTTCTAACACGATTACGGCGACCGTGTCTATTATTGTGTTCATTAAACTTTTCATTTGCAAAAGAACCCTTGAAAGAGGTTTGCTAACCCTAGGGTTCATGTCGCTAGTGCTTTGTCATCTTGTCTTAGCGTTATTGTGATTTTTTCGAACCTTATATCTCTCGGTGAAATTTAGGTTTCCTGATATGTAGTGTTCGTCTCGCCCAGAGGATTGAGGAAGAAGATGAAGAACACATAATTTGATTCGAATCGGATGGAGAGGTCTCCTTAGTTTGTGTTTATGTATTAACAGTGCGTTTAGGAGTAATTCTAGTTGGACTGGGTCTGATCATTGATTTTTGAAGGCTTTTAAATAACATTCAAACGTGGGCTTGTACATGACCCATGCAATATTCAAAAGTGGGCCTGGAACGTGCGAGCCCATTTTTTTCTCCTGCGGTATCAATTCGTGCGTCAACCCTAGTTTAACTAGCTTTACTTACCCTAGTTTAACCTACACGAGTTAACATCATCATTACTACATATCTTCCGAAATCTTCTAACTCTTGACATTCCAGACTCAACCGTCTCCATCACACTCACGTCTCCACACTCAACCCCCACGATCACTTTTTCTTACACCTACATTCTCTCTTTCCTCCATCTTCACCTTCCCTTGTTCCTTCTTCCTCTGACTCCATGTCAAACAAAGGTAAATCGTTTGCGGAAATGGGGATACTATCTCTATCAAACGAAGACTGCCGATCCACCGCAAGTCTCGGGGACTATCTTTCATTCACAAGCAAGACATCTATTGTGGCCGAGTACGAGTTCATCCACCTGAGTCCTTTCCCTCAAGAAGTGAAGAAGTTAATTAAAAATCTTGGCTGGGAAAAGTTCTTTGATCGCTGGAGTCGAGGAAGCACCAGTTACTGCCCGCATGTGGTGATGAAGTTCTACCACAATTTAGAGCTGTCTGGTCCCTGCGATTCTCATCTCGTGTCGATCTTCCTGGGTCATAGAGTCTGCTTCCAGCCTCATCAGTTTGCTGAGATCCTCGATCTCCCCGCCGCAGGACACCCCATTGATAGCAGAAGCGATCTTGGGCGGCTGTACGATTTTGAGTTTGAAGTTGAACTGGCGAAACTGACGAAGGGGCGCATCCAGGCTTCTTTCCTCCCAGATCCTCTTTGATTCCTCCACTGGATGATCGTCAACTGCTTCATGCCAAGGTACTGTGGTCATTCGATTATTCGTAAACTTGACCTGTTTATCCTTGTGCAAGCTCAAAGAGGTGTTCCTGTTAACCTTGCATCTCTCATGTGCCTGAACATGGTTGAGGCTGCTCCTAGAGGGGAAAACTGGTACACTGCCTTTCCATATGCCACCTTCTTGACCACCTTTCTTGAAAGGGTTGGGATGGATATGGGGGTTTATGCTAAGGAGGACCAGTGCGCCTATTTGCCAGTCTACCGTATCGCCGAATTGACCAATACTTTTATTGACCTTCGGCATACGGAGCATGAAGAGACCCCTGAGGCATCCTCAAGCAAACGTCCTCGGCTTACATGAGAGTCGATTGATGCAGGGCGGGGTGGAGCGTTGGAGCAGCAAAGGGGCCAGCATTTTATGTCTTTTGTTAAGAAGTTTACTAAGGCTTTGTTGGTTTTTTTTTCAGTCTTTTTCTCCAGCACTCAAAACTGTCAGGTACTGAGGGGAGCCAGTACATCATCTGACTAGGAAAGTCTCCCATTTTTTTAATTATCCAGACAAATATTTTTCTATGCATGCAGTATTTTGTGAATTTTCCATGGCTAATTTCCCTAAGACAGGTGACGAGATGCAGTAATGGTCATCCCTAAGCAAGGAGGAGCAATTGCATCCTACACTTGCTATGATGTGAGAAGCTATTGCAAGGGTGCAAATTTGCTTGCAATTGACATTGGCCCGCGAGTGGGGACTATTGATGAAATTGCAATGTTTTCTCAAAATTATAGAAGTGGAAGTAGGGACTACCTATGAAATTGCAAATGAATTTCATTGGGGGAGATTTTAATCCGCTTTTGTTCTAAGCAGTTCCAATTAGGTCGAAGAATGTGTTACTTATTTAATCTTCATTTTTTAATGGTTTTCGAAAATTATGGTTTTATTTATATTTGGTCACAAGTATAGTGGCGATGATAGGCGTGAATAGTATGGATATGGCTTGATTATAATGATTTTTTATCTATGGTGATTTTTTCCCCTTTTTCATCAAGACTCATGCTTCTTTTATCCCCCTGTGAATCTATCATGCTTCGTTTATAGTAAAATATCCTTTTAATTATACACAATAAAGAATCCATAAATTATGTATGCCTTTTTATTGTATTTATTACTACAATGAATTCTCTGACTAAAAGGGGAGTGAAAACATCGTTGGTGGAAATTCAAGAAATGGAAGCCTTTCCATATCCTAGGAACATTAAATTAATTACATAAGAATTTTCTATCTGCCTTGTACGGGATTTGGTCATTAATTATACTTATTGGGAGCCAATCAGTTTTACCTTTTGGGTTACCTATACATGAATGCAAATTTAACTATGCATGATCCCAATTAAACCTCTCTACAAGATACAATGGCTTGAAGCCTTGAACAGAAGCAACCTCACTCACAAGTTGGAAGCTGGAATTTTGGTGAAGTCCCTTTGCCATTTCCACGAAAAAACAAACCAAACCAAACCAAATATAGAAAGCATTCACAATACCAAAAACCAAATATAGAAAGAATTCACCAAACCAAAAACCAAATCTAAAAAGCATTCACCAAACCAAACCAAAAACCAAATATAAAAAGCATTCACCAAACCAAAAACCAAATATAAAAACCAAAAATAAAAAGCATTCACCGAACCAAATAAAAAACGGTTGTCCATCATCCTGAGAAAAGAAAAACATAACTATTGTCCATCATCTTGAAAACTAAAACGCAAAATCAGGTTTGTCCTTGGGCTCGTTGACTAGGTTTCCTTGTGCTCTTCTCTTTCCTTTTTCCTCCTTTCATGGGTTTTCTTGTACTCTTCCACTGCAGCTTCAACTTGAGGTGCAACTCTTCTTGCTTCCGTGAGCACCATATGCCTTATGTAGTTCATGGGCTCTCGAACAAGGTACAAAGCAATCTGCATCCTCCTCACTTGAGTGCATGGCTATCAACATCAACAAACATGGTGCTTACCGCATATGATTCAAAAATAACAATCAATTGTGGTTTTCTAATATGCGAATTAGAATTGTCTTTACCCAAATATAAGAGGAGTCCCAGCTTGCGCCATACATCCACATGCATACCCAGACTCCACTGTCAGACCTACATAAAATAAAAGCATTGCGTGATAAGAACCAAGTTGATAAGTCGTCGTTTAATATCACAAAAAAATGGGCATACTTACCGATGAAGTTGTTCTTGATCCTTTGAAGGATTTGGGTACGAAAACTCCGCAATCGTTGGTGGCGACAATCCCGGACCTTGTTCACGATAGAGAATCTTTTACAAGGCTTGCATAAATCTCATCTGTACAAATTAAGAAACGTTTGTACTTAGAAAGAGGTATTTACATTTTTTTGCGTTATAACGGCACAATGTCACAAATTTACCATTGTTTGAACAGATTGTAGTCGAAAGGAATTGCGGTCTTCATTTGGTTGTGGATCCAAGATATGGACTTCTTCCTTGTCCAACTTAATGACAGCCAAGTACCAATGGGCATTATCTCTCATCGGAACACACACCTACATATGCGGAAATTGTCAACACGTATTACAAAAATAAACTGCAAACCATGTAATACTTATTAAGACGAACAGTTTACCTTGTTCACCATATTGGTTCGACTAAGGAATTTTGATTCGTATAGGTCTAATGCCATCTTGGGTGTTATTCCACATGAAATCACTAGTTCCTGCCCATGTGGTAGTTGCACAATTGAAATATTGTCAACACAATATGATTCACGTTAAAAAAACATGTGTTGTAATTTTTTTGGTGAGAGGAAATTGTCATTAAGTATAATCGGACCACAACCTGTAGTTCAGCAGGCAGATAGCACACTCCTTTTCCGTCCATGGAATTTGTCCACAACTCTTCTAGAGTCAAGTGGCAGGCCATCGCTGTTATAACCTAATATAACATGGACAAAAAACACTTCATGATACTATCGAGTTGTTATAAAATAATTCTACGTAGAAAGCATTGATAGTGGACAAACAAAACAAAATTTTGGAGTTCCGTTGATTACTTCAGCATCTACGAATGAGCGAGGGCTTAAGGACCACAATGACTTCCTCGTACAAGAGTTGTTAGAGGTTTTGACCAATACTTCATCAGGTGGCAGATGGGCTAAAAATATATAGTGAGCAAGCTGGATTTGCTCATCATCGTATTCCATAGCGGTAGGTAGCTTAAACTTCAAAACAACCTGGAATAAGGGCCACAAATAAACATGAGTCGAAATGCATTCGTTATGACGGAATAACGGCAAAGAACACTTCAATGGCAAACATGACACCCTTATTACCTTGTCACAGAAGGTAGACAAATACTTTTTCCATTTGGCTTCTTTGGTGTGACCTCAGAGTCAGATTCATCGTCCGAAATAAAAACGATGACTGAAGCAGGAGTGGGTGGAGTGCTTACACCTTTGGGTATCCTTGGTTTCTTTGTTGGAGTCACAAATTCGGCGGTCTCCTTCAATGACAATGAACCTACGATTAATAAATTAACTAGAATGAATTTCAATGGTAAAAAGAGCTATTATACATACCACAAGCTTGGACGAAGAGCGAGTAATTCTCCTATGTTCAATGTTGTACCTCTAATCTAAGCTTTACTCTGTACTCAAAATCGCGGCAAAGAAGGATATGGAACCACTGCTCTACCGCTGAAGGTTAATTATATATACAAGGTTAGGATAAATTGTGGCGCCATATTTTTCCCGCGGAAAAATAGTTAGGGTTTAGTCTAATGTACATGAACTTGGGATAAACATGGGTAGTTATTAAACCTAAAATTAAAAATATACTTTTTTTCGATTGAATAAAGAATTGAGTGCTATTAGTAAATATTCTCTCATATTAATATTTGATCCTTCCCCATACACGTAGTACACAGCTAGAGTCAGCTGGCGTTTGGCTTTACTAAGAAAGGTTTTTCATTTTAAATATTTTCGTTATTTGTGAAAATGTTAAAGAAATCACTAAGATAAAGAACAGAAAGTTCAACTCGTTCCTACCAAAAATATAAGATATCACAAATCGTGTTATTAATGGGGATAATTATTAAGTGGCCCATTGAAGTATTAATTCGGACATCATTCCTAGTAGGGTTTTGTAATCTACGTCCTTGGTTCCCCAAAATTTCCAGCAGTGACAATGACGTCGAAGGCAGACTCACCATTGACGTCGGAGGAAGTCCTAGTATTGACGTCGGAGGAAGTCCAAGAAAACGCTGGTGCCGGAGCCAGTCACACCACCCAGGAAGATAATGTCGCCGATCTCATATTTCTACAGCCTGAAGATATTAAAAAAATGAAGTTCGATGATACAGAAGAAGCCTATGATTTCTACATGGACTACGAGTTAGTCAAAGGCTTCGACATCAGAAAATCAGACATTGGTCGTGATAAGAACAAAGTTATGATATGGCGTGACTATGTATGCTCTGGCGAGGGAAAGAGGCGCATGAAGAGCACAGAACGAAAGAGAGAAGCAAGAGGGGAGACCAGATTTAACTGCAGAGCCAAGATGCGTGTTAAACAAGACAATGTCGATGGGAAGTGGTATGTGCACCAGTTTGATGATGTACACACACATGAAACGATCCCCAGAGAATATAGACACTACATGAAAGGGAAACGTCGTATGAGTGATGCAGTCAAAGCAGCGATAAATTTTAGAAGAGCTGCAGGTATGAAAACTTCTCAAATTGTGAATCTGGCCGTATCAGAAGCAGGAGGCTACGAAAATTTGGGGTACACGAGGAAGGATGCATATAATTATGTGGACAAAGAGAGGAAAGAACAAATCAGTGAAGGTGATGCCACAACAGCCCTAGCCTACCTGCAAGCTAAATGCAGCGCGGACGAGCATTTCGTTATTGAACTAAAGAAGGATGACGACGACCGGCTTATTAACATTTTCTGGGCCGATAGTATTTCTGTTGCTGATTATGCATGCTTTGGAGAATTACTGTCATTCGATGCTACTTACAAAAGGAACATTTACCAGATGCCTCTCGTGATTTTTTCAGGTACTTTTCCTTCACACATAGAATTATCCCAAGCATGCTAAAATAACCCTAGAAGTTTGCATAATCTAACTTTGTTTGAACTTTTTGAGGTTTCAACCACCATTTGCAAACTTGCGTATTTGCATGTGCTTTCTTGGCTAACGAGAGAGAGGAAAATTATATTTGGGTGTTGGGAGCTTTGAAGAGAAGGCTAGGCGGTGTAGATCCCAAGACTGTTATTACAAATGGGGATAGAGCAATGCGTAATGCTATTCAGAAAGTATTTCCCGATGCAACACATCGTCTATATTCCTGGCATATAGACAAGACTATAACCAGAAATGTGAAGAATCATCCTACTTTTTTGCCCCGATGGAAGCATTTTGTGTCAGCTGACTGGGAACCTTCAGAATTCGAAGAAAAGTGGAAATCAGTGGTTGAGGAATGCTCCCTTCAGCACAACAATTGGGTCTCCAATTTATTTGAGCAAAGACATGAATGGGGGTATGCATATTTGCGTTCTAAGTTCTTCGCAGGCTTGAGTACAACATCAAGATGTGAAGGACTGAACTCTCAACTTGCCAATTATATCGAGAAGGATAAAAATCTCCTTGAGTTTTTTATTCACTTTGATCGTTGGACTAGGGATATGAGGGAGAATGAGCGTCATGCTGATTTTGAATTCATTCATCGAGAACGAACCATCACAAGCAATGTCTTAGTCTCACTTCAGAAGAGTGGAGCGGCGGTTTTCACAAAGAACGCATTCTTCTTATTCAGAGACGAGGTTGAAAAGTCGGCATGTTGCATAAGGTTGGAGACAGAGCGATCGGAAATTGAGCGTGCGTACAAGGTCAAGG